TTGTGCTGGTAGTAAAATGGACAGCTGCATTGTTCTCATGGAAGTGGTATTTAATGCATGTTCATCAGGCCTGTGACTCTTCTGAGTAGAGGGTGTTGATGGGGAATGACTTACGTTGTGCTGGTAGTAAAATGGACAGCTGCATTGTTCTCATGGAAGTGGTATTTAATGCATGTTCATCAGGCCTGTTACTCTTCTGAGTAGAGGGTGTTGATGGGGAATGACTTAGGTTGTGCTGGTAGTGAAATGGACAGCTGCATTGTTCTCATGGAAGTAGTATTTAATGCATGTTCATCAGGCCTGTGACTCTTCTGAGTTGATGGGGAATGTGTTTGGCCGTTATACAAGTCTCGTTAGGTTTAGTTTGTTTTGAACCTCGAGCACAGCTACTCGAGGGATATCTGTGTTAGCCGTCCCTGATTTAGTAGTGATAGACTAGAATGAAGGCACCTAGTCAACACCACCCGCTGCCAATTCTTGGGCTACTTTTTCACCAATGAATAGGAGGATTGACCGTCACATTATAATTTCCCCACGGCTGAAAAGGTGAGTAGGTTCAGTGACGAGGATTTGAGCTCACAACCAGCAGATAATCTCGTTAGAAGGGATCTGATTGAGGTGCTTAAGATTCTTAAAGGGGATCTGATAGAGATGTGCACCATCTGTTTTATATTTCATGGTGATAAGAGAACTGATAGAGTTGTGCACCATCTGTTTTATATTTCATGATGATAAGAGAACTGATAGAGTTGTGCACCATCTGTTTTACATTTCATGATGATAATAGAACTGATAGAGTTGTGCACCATCTGTTTTGTATTTCATGGTGATAATAGAACTGATAGAGTTGTGCACCATCTGTTCTATTTCATGGTGATAATAGAACTGATAGAGTTGTGCACCATCTGTTTTATATTTCATGATGATAATAGAACTGATAGAGTTGTGCACCATCTGTTCTATTTCATGGTGATAATAGAACTGATAGAGTTGTGCACCATCTGTTTTATATTTCATGATGATAATAGAACTGATAGAGTTGTGCACCACATGTTTTATATTTCATGGTGATATAGGTAGGACAAGGAAACACAAGTATAAATTTTGGCAGGGTAGGAGTCATCTTCAGCGAAGACAGCTTTATTTTTACAACAGGGTGGTTGGCTTCTGGAACAGATTGCATTGAGATATAATGAATGTAGTTAATTTATAGGAATTTAAGGTAAAGCTTCATAGATATTTGAAAGATAAAGGCTGGCTTTGAGGGTTTTTTATTGTTGTTCTAAAGTTTCATTTAGTGGCCTAGATGAATCAACAGGTCCCTTGTTGTCCATATGTGTAGATGTATGAATATAAGTGAGCACAGAATTATCTACGTTGTTTGTTGAAAAGTGTCTTTCAATATAAATTTGTCTGCTTTTCGATAATAACTGTATTTAAGGAAAATTTCATCAAACTGTTTTAGTATCTCCTGTAAAAACATGAACATTTACAGCTTGGAAAAAGTAACAGAAGATTTTTTTGTTCAGCTTGTATAAAAGCACGAAATAAATTAATAACTAAAATTTAATTATGTCATAAATAATTTATCTTATTATATGTAAACGAGTATTTTAAAGTTGTCTTCAGAATCAAACACAGTTTTATCATCTTCTTTTCAGGGATGGCTGGTATCCTAGTGATGGGTGTGGGAATCTTCTTCAGCGGGACGTTGATGAGGAGATTTAAACCAAGTGCTCGGATTGTGGCTGCATGGATCACCCTAGCGGCCTTTGCTTATTGTTTAGGGATGGTGGTCCTGATGTGGGTGGGATGCCCTGTAAACATCAGAGTGAGCCTCTTTGACGTCCAGTAAGTCCGCATTTGTTCATAATTAATCAAAATTGAGACTTGAGGAAGTCCATCAGCAGAACGATCTTAGGATTAAAACTTGACTGATTCATAAACAGGCACACAAGATGACACTCTCTAAAACCCCTCACCTGATATCCAAATATAAAGATATATATATTAACAATAGCAAACAATGACCCCCAACCTCTTAATAACAACGTTTCAACTGTTATCCTGGCAAACAGTGACTAGACTCTTAATAACAACATTTTAACTGCTATCCTGACAAACAGTGACCCCAGTCTCTTAATAACAACGTTTCAACTGTTATCCTGGCAAACAGTGACTTCAGTCTCTTATAATAACAACGTTTTAACTGCTATCCTGGCAAACAGTGACCCCAGTCTCTTAATAACAACGTTTTAACTGTTATCCTGGCAAACAGTGACCTCAGTCTCTTAATAACAATGTTTCAACTGTTATCCTGGCAAACAGTGACCCCAGTCTCTTAATAACAACGTTTCAACTGTTATCCTGGCAAACAGTGACCCCAGTCTCTTAATAACAACGTTTCAACTGTTATCCTGGCAAACAGTGACTCTAGACTCTTAATAACAACGTTTTAACTGCTATCCTGGCAAACAGTGACCCCAGTCTCTTAATAACAACGTTTCAACTGTTATCCTGGCAAACAGTGACTCTAGTCTCTTAATAACAACGTTTCAACTCTTTATGGAGTAGAATATAACTTCAGCTTTTATCGATTTTTCTATCAGTTTTTTTTTCCTTATTCAATTTGTTTATATCTTTTATCTATCCAATTACTTCAGTCATGTTCCCATTGTTGCAAAGAAATGTCAAATTCCAAACAGTATTAAAACCCTCAGACTTGCCGCTGAGCCACCTGGGGGAAGAATTTGTTATATCCTGTTAATTCTATATATAAAGTTTGGTGTTTTCCAACTATAATTATTTTCATGAATACGTGCGGATTTTCTCCGCGAGAATCGAACCTCGGATTTTAGTACTGCTAGTCCGGAAACTTACCGCTGACCCACCGGTGCACACCAGGGATAAAAATACGTGACTTGGGGAACCCGTCTGGCAAAATGAAACAAAAAAAAAGGTCTTTCACCAGCTAAATCCCATTCGGGATTTGGCATTCAGTACATAAATTATAAGTTTATTAGAAAATATTATTTACGCCATACATGGCTTAAGATTTATTACAAGTGGTTTTGGAACATACAGATTTTATTTTAAGCTAACTGATAATATTTCGTCTTTCCTGCTTAACAGCATTATCTTATGGTTATCGAAGACGATTCTAACCCTCTGGTGGGACAGGGTTAAGTCTACGTATTTAAAACTCTAGAATCAGGGACACAGAAGATAGCCCGATGTGGCTTTGCTATAAGTA